CCACCCACCCTCTCTTTCTTACAGGATATGTCATCTGCCAAAATTAGTCTTATCTTAGCTCTGTAAGAAAATAAAGGGGGGGTGGGCGAGGCCAAAGCTTGCCAAGATAAGACTGATTTTGTCAAATGATATACATTTTTCGTTTTAAGTTTACGATTTTTAATTTTATTAATGAAATCAAATCGTACAAACGCTGCTTATAAATTATCATCACATAATTAAACAATATTTAAACATAGTTAATATTATTTATAATGTTTAAATATGATTAACATTAATATATCATAATTAAACCGAAACGCGTTTTCCTACAAGCCCGAAATTATTAAAAACAAATCAATTTGTTTAAACATTGTAGTGAAAAACAAAATGATTAGAATGGGATATAAAAAGTTAACTGTAGACGGCAGAAATTTTGAATGGAATGCAGAAAAGAGCAGGCTCAAGAAGGTAGAAAATTTTTAGTAAAGAGCCAAAAGAAAAGGAAGGAAAGGAGGAAAAATAGAAGGCAACAAGGCAAATGTACAAAGGATGCAGATAAGGAAATCGGAAGCTGGTACAAAATTGGGAGAAAAAGGGGTGAAGGTACTGTTTTGGCATGTCCAAGGCTTGCGAAAAAAGGAAAAGGAGTTCTGGGACTACGTGGGAAAATTTGATGTAGTGGGGCTAGTAGAGACATGGGTACCAAGAGAAAACTGGGAGAAATTTGAAGAGACTCTACCACAAGAATATGTGTGGGAGTGTCAAGGGGAGACAAAGGAAAAGAAAAAGAAGAGAGCAAGCGGGAGAAAGTAATGGGAGTTCGAAAAGAAATGAAAGAATTGGAAAAGGAAAATGATAATAAAAACGGACTAATGAAGAAAGTAATACAGCTGGATAACAATCGATGGGAAATGGTAACCGTTTATAGCAAGAAAATGGAGGAAACCAAGATAAACATAGAAAAGGAAATAAAAGAAAAATGAGATGAAAAAATACTTATATGAGGGGATTTTAACGCAAGACTGGGCGATAAGGGGACAAGAATAATAGATAAAGAAAAGGGAGCAAAAAGAGCATCCAAAGACAAAGCAAATAACTAAGAAGGGAAAATATTGTGGAAGATAATAGAAGAAATGGAATGGGAAATTTTGAATGGAAACAAGGAAGGAGATGAAGGCGTGGGAAGAAATAGAGAGTTTTAAAGTGGGGGAAAGAGTAGAATCAGACCACATGCCACTAGAAATAAAAATTAAAGGAAAAGAGCAAGAGTACGAAAAACAAGAGAGAAGAAACGAAAGAAAAGAAAAAGGAAAAAGAACATGGGATGAAGAGGGAATTCAAAGATACAAAAGTAGACTAGAACAAAAACAATCTTCCGAAAACTTGACGAAAAGAAATTTTTAAAAACTAATGAAATACAAAAAAAGGGAAAAACGCACTAAAAGAAATAGAGAAAAAAGGGGCAACAATAAATAATTCGAAAAAACAAAAAAATTAACAAAAAGTGTTTCAAAAAACGCCAAAGGAAGTAACAAAAAGAGAGGGGAGAATAAAACGGCAAAATCAACAAAAAATAAGGCTGGAAAAAATCGACAAAAAAATATAAAAAAAAAGAGGAAGTGACCAAAAAGGGATTAAAAACATAATTTAAAAAAAGCCAACAAAAAAAGGTAAAACGAGACCAAAAATAAGGCGACTAAAAAGGTAAAAAAGCGACAAAAAAATGTTACAAAAAAAGCAAAAATAAATTAAAAAACGCCCAAAAAATCAACAATAATTGCCAAAAATCCAATAAAAAACAAAAAACCACGAAAAACAAGGCAACAAAGAAATGAAAAAGAAAGACCAAAAACGTAGAGTAGAAATAGGGTAACAGAAAAGCCACAAAAAGCAAGAGAAAAACCTAGGAAAAAAAAACGCAACACAAAAAAACCGTCGAAAAATCTACAAAACGATCATAGACACTGGGACCTATTAAAAATATGACAAACAAAAAACAAAAAAGAGACAAAAATGACAAGAAGCAAAAAAATTATTAAAAAATGGAGGAAATGAGAAAAAAGCGATTAAAAACAATTGAAAACAAAGAAAGCGACAAAAAAGGAAACAAAAGGAAGTGATAAAAAAGCGACCAGAAATAGGCTACAAAAATGGCAAAATAAAAAGGCAATAAAAATATTAAGAGTAAGGTAGAAAGCGACCAACAAAAAGTTAGAAAAGGGCAAGAATTGAAAAAAAGAGACAAAAAACAAAAAAAGTTACAAAAAATTGATAAAATACATGACCAAAAAAAGGCAAAAACACACTAAAAGAAAACGACAAAAAGGGGCGACAATAAATAATTTTATAGAAAAGCCTATAAAAATGCAAAAAATGAACAAAAAGTGACCCAAAAAAAGCAAAAAAAAAAACAAAAAAACCCTGACCAAAAAAATCCACCAAAAAACGGCAAAAAAACAAAAAACAAGACGAGAAAAATCCACAAAAAAGCAAAAAAAGTTAAAAAAAAAAGGAAGTGACCAGAAAATAATTAAAAAAATTATCAAAAAAAGTTTAAAAAAAGACCAAAAATGAGGCGATAAAAAAGGTAAATAAAGAAGTATAACAAAAATCTAACAAAAAACAACAACGAAAAACAAAGCGACAAAGAATTGAAAAAAAGACCAAAAAAGTAGAGTAGAAACAAAAATGCAACTAAAGAAAGTAAAACACGACCAAAAATCAACAAAAAAGTGACCAAAAAGCCAACAAAAAACGACTAAAAATTAACAGTAAGAAAAGGCGAAGGAGAATGAACGTACGTAGGGGCTAGCGGAGAATCAATTATAAATTATGGGATTGTCAACGAAGAGGCGTGGGAAGAAATAGAGAGTTTCAAAGTGGGGGAAAGGGTAGAATCAGACCACATGCCACTAGAAATGAAAATCAAAGAAAAAGAGCAAGAGTACGAAAAACAAGAGAGAAGAAACGAAAGAAAAGAAATAGAAACAAAAATATGGAATGAAGAGGGAATTCAAAGATACAGAAGTAGACTAGAAAAAAAGAGATTGGAAATAAAAGAAGAAATAGAAGCTATGATAGCAGAACTGATCAACTTAATTGAAGATGCTTCGGAAAAAAGAAAGATATACATATGGCAAGGGAGGAATAATGGATTGAACGGAGAATGTAGTGAGTTGAAGAGAAAAGCAAGGGAAAAATTAAGAAAATGGAAGAATAACAGGGGAAGGAAAGAAGAGTACTTAAAAGCAAGAGAGAATTATAGGAGAAAATGAGAAGAAAGAAAACGAGAAAAACGAGAAGAAAAAGAAAACATAATAAAGTCCCTGAAAACAGAAGAAGAAGTATGGAGATATATGAACAAGGAAACACTTGCCAAAATAAGACTGATTTTTAAGAATAATAATAACGCATTTATTTCCAACAGATTAGACAACCACCCAATTACAGGAAAATAATATAACAGAAAGATTAATTAAAAATTAAAAGAAAAAAAAAGAAATAAGGTGACGTGCTCCTATTCTAAATTAATAATAAGTACAATAATAATAGATAAACATAATAAAAAATAATAAACATATGTTTCTAAAATGTGTATCGTAATGTCTCTGTTTTCTTAGAGGATAGGTCATTTGCCAATATCAGTCTTATCTTAGCAGGTGCTAGCCCCGCCCACCCACCCTCTCTTTTCTTAGAGGATATGTCATCTGCCAAAATCAGTCTAATCTTGGCAGCTACTAGCCTTCTAAGTAAATAAAGGGAGGGTGGGTGGGGCCAATACTTGTCAAGATAAGACTGATTTTACCAAGTGATATACCTTCTACTCTTCATTTTCGGTTGTTTCGGTTTGGTGGCAGCAACATCAGAGCTCCGTTTTGGCTTTAAAGTAGGGCTCTTTTCACGAATTTCTAATTTATTATTGATAAATATTAGTGAAAATGTGTTGTATTGGTACTGTGAACACGAACGAAGATGGATATTTTTCCGAAAAGGACCAAAAACAGGGTAAGTACGATTTCAGTTTTAATTTATCGGATTCCGTGATTCGTTCACTCGACATTTTCGATCCTTTATGTTCAGTTTTGATTCCGGACTGGTAGCAGCAACACTGTAGCTCCGTTTTGGGTTAAAAGTAGTACGTGTTCGCGAATTTCTAATTTATTGTTAATAAATATTAGCGAAAATGTTTTGTGTTAAGTGCTGTGAACACGAAGGAAAGTGGATATTTTTCCGAAAATGGCCGAGTTTTTTTGAAATATACGCAATGATACTAGATGAGAGGTTACGAAAGGAGATGGAAGTAAGGGGTATGTTACCATTAATATATCATAATTAAACCGAAACGCGTTTTCCTACGAGCGACCGGTGTTCAGTTTAGATTTCGGTCTGGTGGCAGCAGCATCGGAGTCCGTTTAAGCTTAAAAGTAGCACATTTTGATCTCTGCCAACTTGCTAAACATTCTAGAATAGTATTATATGTTTAAAATGTGCTCTTACTATGTTTAAGGTTACTTAATTTTTGTCAATTTTCTAGTTATTTTTAGTTTTTGGTTTCTGTAATTTCGTCCTGTTGAAATCAATAAATATTATTATTATAAATGTTATTTATTTTATCTAAAAGTAGAAAAAGTTGTACTGTCGTAGTTAACGAGATTCGTAATCCAATTGCTCGCCGGCCTGGATCTTTTCGTACCTCGGGTCAAACCCATCCCTTTACGGCTGTTCCATTATTTTATTACTTTATCAAATATTCTGAAGCTAAACGAATGGGAAATGGCTCATTGTATTAGGAATACAAGTCCCATGGTGCGTGTCCGTTGTCGGAAACATAACAAGTTCCGGCCGTATTTATTGCATGTCGGTCTCCAAAAGTAACAAACACGGTCCTGGCCCCATTCGTGGTAGTTCATTATGAGGGCTGTCGAAAAAGACGGATGGAGACGCGTTACAGGCAACAAGGGACGTAAAATTTAGAGGGTATTCGTCGGGGTATAATACACAATTATTACACTCCGAAATTGTTTCAATAAATATTTATTTATAACAAAGCAACAAAAATCAGTGTCAACTTGTATTTTCGTCGTCTTGATCACTATTAACTGACGTCTTTTCTTCATCCACTTCGTCGTCCGATTCTTTAACCGCCGTAGTTTTCTCTATGCGTTTTGGTAAAATAGATTCAATAGCTGCTTTAAAGGGTTTTCCTTCACTAACGCGCAGCAGAATTTCAAACACTGAAACAACAACACAATTTTCGAAATTTCTTTGAAAAAAAAAATCACCTTGATTAATAGTTAGGACCTTCCTATGATTTAGCCAGAAGTACTCATTTATGGGTAACTGTCCATGTGCGATTCCTTGTTCTACAGCTTTGTTGTAACAAATTCCCTAACAACAACAACAAAAAAACAATAAGAAATTACCAAAAAAAAACTAAATATACTTTGTGAAAATTGTGGTCAACTAAACCCCCAATTATGTACACTTTGTCTTGCTCCAGCTCAGTGATAACATTGTCACTCTCGCTACTTAAATAAACCAACTTCTCCTTAGGGAACACTTGACTATAATCCTCCTCACAGAAATTTATATCCCAGTTCTCATACCCATGATGTTTGGCCATTTCCGTCTTACTACGTCCATTAAAACTGGTCAAGGACAACTGCATAGGTGCATCCGCCCTCCTGTTCGCCGTATACACCCTCAATATTTGCTTAATAGTCTTAGCCATATCCTACAACCCTCAATTACTAACTTTCCACAAACCCAAACTAACCCACCTTATCTATCATCAAATCGTCAAAACTCAAGTCAATACAGACCCCAATTTTGCACGGACTGTCCTTCATTTTCATCTTCTTCAACTGCTTGCGACTGGGCCCCAAATCGACGTTGTTGAGCTTGGCTTGAATGCGTTTTTCTTTAGTCCGAAGGCGCTCCTTAGCTCGCTTTTCTTTCTTGATTTCCTGCCACTTGAGACACTTTTTGTATTTTTTCAGCTGACGCTTAGTGAGCTTGGAGATTTCTACACCGTTGAAAAATTTTGGTTCGTCGGTGGGGCCCCCACCTGAGACAATTTCATCGTCAGTTTGTCCCTCATCGGAGACTCTTTTTTTGGGGTTTGAGTCCGAATCATCGGTTTCTAGGGGTCGTTTATTGCTTGAGTCGTCACTGTGAAGCGGCATTTAGTAAAACTCGACGAATTAATCAGAAAAAACACATTTGTTAACCTCACTTTCTGGGTGAGGTTAAGTCACGCGACACGTCATTATTGTCATTCAGAGCAACGATAGAGTGATAAAAAGTAGACCGACTTTCTATAGACTGATAAAACTAGTTGTTAACCGTTTTTAATAGTTGTTTGATGTCGTCAGTCGCTTCTTCCACTGCAACTTGATATGACGTCGTTTTCGGGTCAAAATCAACGAATTTTTTTGCAATGGTTTCATGACCCAACAAAATCGCAAATTGTAAAGCCGCATTTCCGTGAATTTCTTGATTTTTAATGTGTTTCCGGAACTCTGAAATGTCTAACAATGTTTTAACAATTTCAACGTCGTTCGTCGCGACTGCAGTAAACAACAAATTGTCGTAGTCGCTACTGGAAAGCCACATTTCCACCGTATTCAGATAATCGGCGAACTTTTTCATCAACGTCATACACTTTTTTTTGATACATTTCAACAAAACCCACTTGACGTTTGCAAATATTTTCAACCCAGATACGTCAAAGTCGTACCCCTTTTGTAGAATTTGGTCAATAACGAGAAGGTTTTTAGTCCGATCAGCCCACTCGATTGGGGTGAAATTGAACAAGTCGCGGCCACAATTCACGTCGATTTGTTGCAACAAAAGGTCCAAAAATTTCGGGTCACTTTTAAGTTTCCACGAACACGCCAAATGCAAAGCGTTGCGGCCCAAATCGTCCACAAATTCGAAATCTTTATGACCATATTTGCCAATTTTGTCGGGGTTTTGGTCCAACACGGCCCCGAAAAGTGGTACCTTTTGGGCCACAATTCTGTCAAAAAAGAGCCGGATTGTCGTGTGTGCTTTCACTAGAAATAGTTTTTCGAGGAGTTTTTTCGCCCTCTTGTTGGTTTTCCAATTTTCGACCAACCACGTCGCTGCAAAATAATCAGCGTAGGTTTGGTGTAAAAAAATTGGCACATCGCCGGGACCCACTTGTGTTATAAGACCAATTTTTTCTTGCCCTTGTTTCAGTTCTTGTAGGAATTTTAAGTTGTGAGGTTTCGCGAAATAGGAGGCTTGTTTGTGGCCAAAAATCGCGATCAAGGCGCAAATTTCGAGGTTCCAGACCGTGAGCTGACGTATGTCTTGAGTGAAGGAGTCGTAGATGGTAGGGTGGCACCCTTGCAGATACTTTCGTTCAAACAAAGCGAATTTCAAATCTATGAATTTCTGGTACAATTGTAGTATGTCCATGTCGAAATTGACACGATTTTGCGACAAATCGGAGTGAACTGTTTCGCACAACATCGACATCTGCAGGGCGTTGTCTGAAAACTTTGAACAAAAATTTTGTAACAAACTAGCCAGAACTGTGTTAAAAGTGGCCCGAAAATTTTCACAAACACTAGTTTGATATTCGTGGACAAACTTAATTTTGTCGTCGGAGTCAAACGGGCATATAAAATGGGGCAAAACTTGGAACTTTCGTTCCAGAATATGGGCCGCACTGGGTCGCGTGGTTATAACCTGGGTGAACCCCATGGAGCGAAAATCCTCGACCACACCCATGACTGTGTCGCTAAACCGTGGCGCCACTTCATCAAACCCATCAAACAACGCAACGACTTCACCCCTCCTGGCAAAAAAATCGAAACAAACCCTCGCCAATTTATCACCACCGTAATAATAATTACGGAAGTAATCCAGAGTCGGAGTACCCCGCAGATAACTCGAATGCTCGATTAATTCAACTTTCAGGATCCATACATTCTGCGAGCACGTTCTGCACATTTGATTAATTAAAGTCGACTTGCCCATGCCCGGGGGTGAGCTAATTACATAGATGGGGTTGCTCGGGTTCGAAAACAAATCATCTTCATCGTCAACATTGCCTGCCTCGCTCACGAATTCTTTCAATAAATCAACCGAACTACTTTGAATCCATTTTAAAATCGGGCTGCCGAATTTTTGGGTCATGAGGAAAATATGGTATTTGGGGTGGTTAGCTTGCACAAGAAATTTTTTTATATTGTTGATAGGGACGTCGTAACTTGATACACAAATGTTTTTTTTGTGGAGGATAGTGTCCGGGCCGATGAATTCGACAACCCGTGACGAAAACTCGGTTAAAATGTAGTCAAAATGGGTGTTCAAGTCACACTGGATGACTATGATTTCGTCTCGGATGTATTTTAGGAGTTTGACGTCGACGTGGAAGGCAGAGATTCGTCTTTTGATGTAAATTGGGGGTAAGTGGGCGGGGATTAAACCGACGCTGCGATTTTGCATGATTTCCAAAAGAAAGGTTGGAGTGACGTGGTGTGAAATTTGGCCATCTGAGGAAATCATTTCGTCTAAAGTTAGGTTAAACCGACTTTGAATGTCGATGCAGAGGGTTGATAAAACCGTCTCGAGAAAGTCGCTTTCTAGTATAGACAGATCGTCGAGTTTAGTGAATTTTGACAATCGTGTGAAATGCGTGACGTTTTCTTGGGGTGTAGCAACCACGAAGTACTTTCTAGTCGTTGTTGACTGCAAAATATCGACGATTTTTGACAGGTTTGAGTTATTATCATAGTGTAAAAACAGAGGGACTTGTCCACTTTTCCAGAAAGCGAGGTACAAGTTTTTTGGAGAAATATTCTTGTTGGTTAGTTTGTTTAGTAAATACCGCTTTGGAACCACTGGATTTAGTTCTAGAACCAAACGAGGAGTCCCCCAGTTGTTTTCGTCCCAATTATCTACACCCAGCGCTTGGAAAATTGTCTGCCAAATTGTCGAGGCAGTGTTGTCGTCATCGTCCACAAAAGTCACACTAAAGCAGTCAACTATTTCGTTCCACAGATCGACAAACCTCAAATTTTCTTTTTTGAAAGTCGGCTTGACTACATGAGGGGCCAACAAAACCTCGCACACCTCGGTCACAAAATCGTTTCTAGTCAGTTTGAAATGACCCCCCAGCAGCCCCTTTTTCCACTTTTCCACAAAAGTGAACACATCCTCGACCTCCACACTACTCCCAAACTCCCTGGTGACCAAACTTCGAACTTCGTTCTCCATCTGGCTGCAATTTTTCTGATTCGTGTAGACATAGAACCTTGACAAAAACTCGCTCTTCTTGCTTGAATCGTCGCACCGAAATTGGAAACATTCAACACCTGGGAGAAATTCCAAAATCGTGGAAGTTTGTTGAAGTTGGTGTTTCTTCCAGCGAAAGTTTTCCACACTCTTGTTGCACCCCCCCGTCGTGTACAAAACAAAGTAGCTGTTTTTCTTGTCAGCGCCTATTTCTTTGTAACTCTTGTAGTACTTGTGGAGGCTGTAGTCCCCTTTGGTGGAGGTTAGTTTTTCGTAGGTTACATTTTGTCGGACGTGCTTTAGCTGCACTGCCACGATTTTTTTCGAGTTGGTGTACTCGATTTCGAAGACCGAGTCGTCGAAGTCGCCCCAGGAGTTCTCGTTGGAGGTGATTTGGAAGTTCTTGACGGCGGTGTTGAGGGACAGTCGCAAGGCGGCGTAGGTGGTGAACACCACTTCGTACTTTTCGCCGAAGTTTTTCGTGCCGGGTCGTACAATATAGGGCTAAAAATGCAAAAGTTTGACTTAAAATTGGGTCAGTTTGTTATCATTTGACGTTTTTACAGATTAACAAAGAATGTGCTATGAGTCACTGATAAATCAGATGAGATTTAGTACTACATTTTCGTGCTGTAGGGGTCATGAAACGTAGTCTTCTTTTCACAACAAGAAACTTAAAACATGTTTAAACTGGTAAATTTTTGTAGGCAAATATGTATTTTGGAATTAAGCTCCGCCCCTCGAGACGACAACTAATAAAAAATTCATCACACAGAGATCGGGGCGGGTGGGTGGGGCTTAATACATTAGATTTTCTTTCAACAACACCATTTGATATTTTAAGTGTTTCATTGCTTAAAGAAGATTATGTGTATCACGAAAAGAAAGTCGAGGGTTAAACCCACCCACCCACCCCATCTTCATTGTGATTAATTGGTAGTAATTAATTTTCGCGGGGGGGCCGGAGCTTAATTGAAAAGTTCATATATTCAGGCAATTTCCAACTGAAAGATGTTTTCATCGTGTTGAAACAAAACTACATATGTTAAGAAAGAAAAATAAAAATTTAGCCCCACCCACCCACCCCTACTTTTATTGTAACGAATTTTTTATCCGTTATGAGTTCAGACGGGGTGGAGCTTAATTGCAAAATCTATATGTTTGAGGCATGATCGTATTGTAGAAAATAGACTATTAAAAAAAAACATTTGGGACCCCCGAGAAGTTTTTACATTTTTAAAAAGGTAGTTGGGACCCCCAAGGTTTCACATTAAAAAAAATACATTTTGGGTGCTCGGGAAGGTTTTACATTTTTAAAAAAGACAGTTGGGACCCCAGAGAATGTTTCACATTAAAAAGACATTTGGGACCCTCGAAAAGGTTTTAATTTTTTAAAAAGACAGTTGGGACCCCCGAGAAGGTTTAATATTCTTAGAAAAGACATTTGGCGCCCCCGAGGTTTTACATTTTTAAAAAAAGACAGTTGGGACACCTGAAGAGGTTTCACCTTAAAAAAAGACATTTGGGGCCCTTGAGAAGGTTTTACATTTTTAAAAAAAGACAGTTGGGACCCCTGAGAAGGTTTTACATTCTTAAAAATGACATTTGGCGCCCCCGAAAAGGTTTTACATTTTTAAAAAAAGACAGTTGGGACCCCTGAGAAGGTTTTACATTTTTAAAAAATACAGTGGAAACCCCTGAGAAGGTTTCATATAAAAAAAAAAAGACATTTAGGGCCCCCGGGAAGGTTTTACATTTTTAGAAAAGACAGTTGGGACCACATTAAAAAAAGACAGTTGGGACCCCCGAGAAGGTTTTACATTTTTAAAAAGACAGTTGGGACCCCCGAGAAGGTTTTACATTAAAAAAAAACATTGGGGGCCGCCGAGAATATTTCACATAAAAAAAGACATTTGGGGCCCCCGAGAAGGTTTTACATTTTTAACAAAGACAGTTGGGACCCCTGAGAAGGTTTCATATTTTTAGAAAAGACATTTGGCGCCCCCGAGAAGGTTTCACATTTTTAAAAAAGACAGTTGGGACCCCCGAGAAGGTTTCACATGCTTAGAAATGACATTTGGTGCCCCCGAAAAGGTTTTACATTTTTAAAAAAAGACAGTTGGGACCCCTGAGAAGGTTTTACATTTTTAAAAAATACAGTGGAGACCCCCGAGGTTTCATATTAAAAAAAAAGACATTTAGGGCCCCCGGGAAGGGTTTACATTTTTAGAAAAGACAGTTGGGACCACATTAAAAAAAGACAGTTGGGACTCCCGAGAAGATTTTACATTTTTAAAAAGACAGTTGGAACCCCCGAGAAGGTTTCACATTAAAAAAAAAACATTTGTGACCTCCGAGAATGTTTCACAAAAAAAAAGACATTTGGGTCCCCCGAGAAAGTTTCACATTCTTAAAAAAAGACAGTTGGGACCCCCAAGAAGGTTTCACATAAAAAAACATTTGGGACCCCCGAGGTTTCACATTTTTTTAAAAGACAGTTGGGACCCCCGAGAAGATTTCACATTCTTAAAAAAAGACAGTTAGGACCCCGGAAAAGGTTTGACATTCTTAAAAAATGGTTGAAAGTTATTTCTAAAAAACTTCCCTAGCCCCTAAAGTACAGTCGAACAAATAGAACTTCGAAAAATTATTATCAACTTTAACTTTGAGAATTCTTTTTTTTTCATCTTTATGGTCAGTTTTTCCGTATATGTATATATTTTTTAAACCATCATTGATATTTTAGCAAGGACCCATATTTCAATTTACTTGTGAGTTTTGGCACCTTTGGAATCCTCGAAATCTTTGAAATTTAGATAAGGCTTTGAACTTTCACACTATTTGGAAAATGGAAATTTGGAAAATTCAGTAAAATGTTTAGAATTACTAGAATTGAGTAAATTTTTGAAATTGTGAGAAGTTTAAGATTTTCTAAATGTTGTAAAAATGTCAGTTTTCGGATATACCAGGAATCAACATTTTCCTCAGTTTTCAAGATTTCTAGGTTTTCCCAATTTTTCACACTTTCTAGAATTTCCAGATTTTCTAAAATTAATAAACCCCAAAGTCTTTAAATCTTTGAAATTTTTGGAATCTCTGAAATCTTTAGAATTTCTGAGATGTTTTAGGATAATAATTAGGGTGTTCACGACCCCTAATACTTGTAGGGTTTATAAAAATTAAAGGATTTTTATGATTTTTGTTTTGTTTAGAGCCTTTGGAATCTTTTGAAGGTAAGCGAAGAAAAATCTTGCTGCCTCGGTGGAAATCGAACCACACGTCACCCGCTTGCCGGACAGGTATCCTGACCACTAGACTACGAGGCAGCAACGTGTTATTGTGCCAAAATTTTTGTCATGTTAAGAGTTCATGCGTTTTTTACAAATTATAGAATCTTTGAAATATTTGGAACAGAATTTTAAAAACTTTTTAACGTTTGAGATCTTAGAGTATTTAGAATCTTCAGAGTTTTCACAGTCCTTTGAGGAATTTGGGAATTTTCGTAATTTGTAAAATTTTCAAAATTACCAGAATGTTCATATTTTCCAGATTAGGCCAATTTTTCAGATTTTCCGAACTGCACAAATGACCAGAATTTCCACATTTTCCAAAATTTCTAAAATTATTTATACCAAAATTTTGAAATTCAACCTTTGCCAATATTTTCAAGCAATAGCACATTCTAAATTTTTTCAGATTTTCTAAAATTTATAGATCTCAAGAGTCTAAATCTTTGGGATTTTTGGAATCTCTGGAATCTTTAAAGTCTCTAAGATTTACAAGATATTAATTAGGGTGTCCAAGACCTTCAGTGCTTTTAGGATTTATAAAAATTGAAGAAAGCATTTTTCCGATCTTTACGATTTTTAGGTTTTTAAGGCCTTTGGAATTTTCAAAATATTTGTCATTTTAAAAGTTCACCCGATTTTTACAAGTTTTAGAATCTTTGGCTTTTTGAAATTTCTATAGAACCTTTAGAATTTTGCAAGTACTCGAAAAAGAATTTTAGTTTTTGGCCCCTTATTAGAGTCCTTAGAGCCTTTAAAATCTTAAGTCTTTAGACTCTTTCTAATCTATGGAAATATTGAACACTTTGGGAATTACTAGGAGTTTTATAAAGCCTAAAATTTCTGCAATTTCTAGGATCATTAGTAACCCCAGACTCTTTAAAATTTTTAAGATTTTGTTGGATTTTTTTTATATTTAGAAGCTTTTATACCTCTGGAAACTTTGGAACCTTTAGAATCTCTAGAATTTCTATAATCTTTAGAGCTTTCAAATTTTCATTATTTTTAATGTTTCAGGAACTCTAGAATTTCAAATATTTTTAGATCTTTCCAATTTTTAATTTGGAATCTGTGGGAGGGGCTAGTACTTGCTAAGATAAGACTAATTGTGGCTCTAAGAAAATGGAGGGCGTGTGGGCGGGACTTACTTGTTAAGAAGATTGATTTTAGCAAATCACATACCCTCTAAGAAAAAAAAAGGGTGGGTGGGCGGGGCTAAAACTTGATAAAATAGGACTGAACAATATTAAGAATAGTCAATGGAACGAAGAAGGGGTGGGTGGGCGGGGCTACTGCTGGTTCATGAAACTAGAATCACTAGAATTTCTATAATCTTTCGAGCTTTCACATTTTCATTATTTTTAGTTACTTCAGTAACTCTAGAATTTTAAATATTTTTAGAACTTTAGGATTTTTAATTTGGAATCTGTGGGAGGGGCTAGTACTTGCTAAAATAAGACTAATTATGGCAAACGACATACCTCTAAGAAAATGGGGGGCGGGTGGGCGGGGCTAGTTCTTGTTACGAAAAGATTGATTTTGGCAAATCACATATCCTCTAAGAAAAAAAAGGTGGGTGGGCGGGGTTAAAACTTGATAAAATAGGACTGAACAGTATTAAGAATAGTCAATGGAACGAAGAAGGGGTGGGTGGGCGGAGCTACTGTTGTTTCATGTCATGAAACTAGAAAAAAGCTCAATTTAGCCACAAGTGAAAATTCCTCATATATTTGCGTATAATTTATTCGGCAAAATTTTGAGATGACGTCATCAATTTTTGAGGAAATAAACAGATAGATTTTTTACGTTTAAGACCTTCGAGTATTTAAAATCTTTAGAGTTTTCAAAGTCCTTACAGGAATTTGGGAATTTTCGTAATTTGCAAAATTTTTAAAATTACGAGCCCAATTTTTCAGATTTTCCGATGTACACAAATGACCAGAATTTCCACATTTTCCAATATTTCTAAAATTATCAGGCCCCAGTTATACCAGAATTTTGAAATTCAACCTTTTCCAATATTTTCAAGACTTCTGGGTCTTCCACATTCTAAATTTTTTCAGATTTTCTAAAATTTATAGATCTCAAGAGTCTAAATCTTTGGAATTTTTGGAATCTCTGGAATCTTTAAACTCTACAAGATTTATAAGATATTAAGACCTTCAGTGCTTTTAGGATTTATAAAAATTGAAGAGAGCATTTTTCCGATCTTTACGATTTTTAGGTCTTTAAGGCCTTTGGAATTTTTAAAAGTTCACCCGATTTTTACAGGTTTTAGAATCTTTGGCTTTTTGAAATTTCTCTAGAACCTTTAGAATCTTTCAAGTACCTACTCGAAACAGAATTTTAGTTTTTGGCCCCTTATTAGAGTCCTTAGAGCCTTTAAAACCTTGAAGTCTTCGGAGTATTTAGTCTTTAGACTCTTTCCAACCTACGGAAATATTGAACACTCTGTGAATTACTAGGAGTTTCATAAAGCCTAAAATTTCTGCAATTTCTAGGATCATTAGTACCCCCAGATTCTTTAAAATTTTTAAGATTTTGTTGGATTTTTGTTATATTTAGAAGCTTTTATACCTCTCGAAACTTTGGAACCTTTAGAATCTCTAGAATTTCTATAATCTTTAGAGCTTTAAAATTTTCATTATTTTTAATGTTTCAGGAACTCTAGAATTTCAAATATTTTTAGATCTTTAGGATTTTTATCATGTTTCCAATTTTTAATTTGCAATCTGTGGGAGGGGCTAGTACTTGCTAAGATAAGATTGATTGTGGCTCTAAGAAAATAGAGGGCGGGTGGGCGGGACTTCTTGTTAAAAAGGTTGATTTGGGCAAATCACATATCCTCTAAGAAAAAAAAGGGTGGGTGGGCGGGGCTAAAACTTGATAAAATAGGACTGAACAGTATTAAGAATAGTCAATGGAACGAATAAGGGGTGGGTGGGCGGGGCTACTGCTTGTTCATGAAACTAGAATCACTAGAATTTCTATCATCTTTAGAGGTTTTAGATTTTCATTAGTTTTAGATACTTCAGTAACTTTAGAATTTTAAATATTTTTAGATCTTTAGAATTTTTAACATATTTCCAATTTTTTATTTGGAATCTGTGGGAGGGGCTAGTACTTGTTAAGAAAAGATTGATTTTGGTAAATGACATATTCTCAAAGAAAAAAAAGGGTGGGTGGGCGGGGCTAAAACTTGATAAAATAGGACTGAACAGTATTAAGAATAGTCACTGGAACGAAGAAGGGTTGGGTGGGCGGGGCTACGCTTGTTCATGAAACTAGAATCACTAGAATTTCTATCATCTTTAGAGCTTTTAGATTTTCATTATTTTTAGATACTTCAGTAACTTTAAAATTTTAAATATTTTTAGATCTTTAGGATTTTTATCATATTTCCAATTTTTTATTTGGAATCTGTGGGAGGGGCTAGTACTTGCTAAGATAAGACTAATTGTGGCAAACGACATAACCTAAAAAAATGGAGGCCGGGTGGGCGGGGCTAGTACTTGTTAAGAAAAGATTGATTTTGGTAAATGACATATTCTCAAAGAAAAAAAAGGGTGGGTGGGCGGGGCTAAAACTTGATAAAATAGGAGTGAACAGTATTAAGAATAGTCAATGGAACGAATAAGGGGTGGGTGGGCGGGGCTACTGCTTGTTCATGAAACTAGAATCACCAGAATTTCTATCATCTTTGGAGCTTTTAAATTTTCACTATTTTTAGATACTTCAGTAACTCTAGAATTTTAAATATTTTTAGAACTTTAGGATTTTTATCATCTTTACAATTTTTAATTTGGAATCTATAGGAGGGGCTAGTACTTACTAAGACAAGACCAATTGTGGCAAACGACACACCATCCCTAAGAAAATGGAGGGCGGGTGGGCGGGACTAGTACTTGTTAAGAAGATTGATTTTGGCAAATCACATATCCTCTAAGAAAAAAAAGGGTGGGTGGGCGGGGCTAAAACTTGATAAAATAGGACTGAACAGTATTAAGAATAGTCAATGGAACGAAGAAGGGGTGGGTGGGCGGAGTTACTGCTGGTTCATGAAACTAGAATCACTAGAATTTCTATAATCTTTCGAGTTTTCACATTTTCATTATTTTTAGATCCTTCAGTAACTCTAGAATTTTTAATATTTTTAGAACTTTAGGATTTTCCTCATCTTTCCAATTTTTAATTTGGAATCTATGGGAGGGGCTAGTACTTACTAAGACAAGACTAACTGTGACAAACGGAATACCCCCTAAGAAAATGGAGGGCGGGTGAGCGGGGCTAGTATTTGTTAAGAAAACATTGATTTTGACAAATCACATATCCTCCAAAAAAAAAGGGTGGGTGGGCGGTCTAAAACTTGATCAGATAGGACTGAACAATATTAAGAATAGTCACTGGAACGAAGAAGAGGTGGGGTGGGCGGGGCTACTGCTTGTTCATGATACGAGAATGAGTAGAATTTCTATCATCTTTAGAGCTTTTAGATTTTCATTATTTTTAGATACTTCAGTAACTCTAGAATTTTAAATACTTTTAGATCTTTAAGATTTTTATCATCTTTCCAAGTTTTAATTTGGAGTCTGTGGGAAGGGCTAGTACTTGGTAAGATAAGATTAATTGTGACAAACGACATACATCTAAGAAAATGGAGAGCGAGTGGACGGAGCTAGTACTTGTTAAGAAAAGATTGATTTTGGTAAAGTATTCTCTAAGAAAAAAAAGGGTGAGTGGGCGGGGCTAAAACTTGATTAGATAGGACTGAACAATATTAAGAATAGTCACTGGAACGAAGAAGGGGTGGGTGGGCGGGCTCCTGTTTGATCATGTCATGAAACTAGAAAAAAGCTAATTTAGCCACAAGTGAAAATTCATCATATTTTGCACATTTTGTGTAGAATTTATTCGGCAAAATCTTGAGATGACGTCATCAATTTGGGAGGAATAAACAGATAGATTTTGATTAACAATTTACCATGCTTACAACATCTTTAAAGTTTTGCAATTCTTGATTTATTCAATAAAATAAATTGACTCATACATATTTTTTTTAATGACCCTGTATAAGCAAGCTAAAAAATGAGGTTCTTAATTTGATCAATAAAAAATTGGTCGAAGGCTGTAAGTATAATCCAACCAATCAAACTCTTAAAAAAATTATAAATTTTGATTGTACGACTTTCGTTTTGTGATAACCGCTGTGAAGTAAAAACCAGAGGCATAAATAACACCCCTTGTCCTTCAGTAGTAGGTCGTTCTTAATTTGACCAATTTCGTACTATAGGGGTCTAGAAAACACACTAATAAAACACACAAACATTATTTCACCCACATGAAAAGAAACGCTTACCTCCAATGTTTCTTCAATCATTGTTAAACGCACCATAAAACCGATTTTCTCCACGGGAAGCGCCAGACACAATCTAGTATCTCAAAAGAATGTCGATTTGTTATCTAATTTATCAATCTACAATCGCTAATTGTTTTCTATGAAATAATAAAACGAACCAAATTTTTTGTGTGTGATTTATTGTACGATAAAAACATAACGTATGTACAAATCTTACATTTCAACATTGCATTAATGAAAACATCACCGCCGGGTTACTGATTCCAGTAAACAATAAAGATTCCAATAAATACAAAACAATTACATCCGAATTTAGTTACATAAATTCCACAGGATTCACATTACATGACGAAATAAAAAAGTAGCTTGGAACTCTTTATAAAAAATATGACATTCCCAAAACAATAATTTATGATTACACACTTTATTAGGTTCTGTTGGAGTAAACAAGCGTCCCACTCCAACAATACTGACAAAATACGTTGTCATCATTTTTTACAAATTCATTCAATTACTGTCTTTAATTTTAGTCTATTCACATCACTTGGGTGAAATGATCACCTTTCCTGTAGGTTCCTCGTGTCCTTGGTACTTTGGCTTACCGTGAGTGAAAGGCAAATATCTATACTTAATCATATGCTAAAACCAAAATAATCATTTTGGAAGCCAAAAAAACCCAAAACTTACCTTAATCTGTCTCTTCATGGTGATACAGAATAACGTAATAAAGTACATTACTAGTATTGGCCAGAATACTGGTATATTGAAACACTCAAAGAACGTACAAAAAATACCTATTAACGTACTTTTGGTAACAGAATACCAGAATTTGAATTCCGGCAGTCGCCGAATGAACGGTCTGAACTCTTCGTTAGCTCTCGTTGGCAATTCGGGGCCATTTTCTTCGGCTACGACTAGCGATTAAATTAGTTCGACGAATTTGGTAACTCACCATCAAAATCCATAGCCGGGTCGATTTTCGGCGTGAGGAACGCGATGAATAAATTTAGGTGGTAAATACCCAACGCATAAGTTACGATGTACCAACCCTGGAACACCACATTAAAAAATTGGAACGTGTCTACGCCCACTCATGGTATTTTTATTCAGTGATTCGGACATTTGTTCTACTGTGAACATCGCTAAGGAAAAACAGAAACAAGTGCGGACTTAAAACGGCGCCCGGATGAGGTGAAAATTGCATTTTCGTATCCTAAAAGATTATACAACGTTTTCCTACATTTTATTAAATCAAATACTCATTTACCGGTTATCTCACATGACGTTGTTTCCTGAAAATCGTCTTATCATCGTGATTCATTTTTATCTTAAAACCTTTCGTGGAATATAAACGTAAGACGTTTAAAATCAAGCATTGTTTCATTTATTTATATAAAATAATTGGCTTTATTAAAATAGTACAAGATTGGCTAAAAATGCGATGACAGTGTCCACATCATAACATGAGTCATCAATAAACGATTTTGCTATTAAATAATGTTGCATATGAATATTCAAGGACGGATCAATATCCCATTTTAAACTAAATTAGTGTCACGATTTGATAACTGGACGCAATTATTTTACGAAATTATAGTTTAAAAAATGTAAACAAAAAAAAAACGGAGGCCTTCACGACCGTCTGCTGACGTCACACTACATCATAGTCGCATTTGATGATTTCCCCAGAGTTGCGTGTCATCAAGATAATTAACCTAATGAGAATGACTGTCAAACCCTCCATCAATAACAACGTGCCACACATTCAGCTATCACAATCAACAAATGAAAATCCCTAAATCCGGCGGTTGATTTGAAGTGGTGGAAAAGGCAGAAACGGTCCCCGATTGACAAGCAAACGGACGTAAACATGTACAGTGTAATACAAAAAAAATGTAATTAACTTAAAATACCTGTGCGTAAAGCACTCGGGCCAAAAACCCGACGATGAGCAGGAAGGCAGAGAGCCATCGTGTTTTTTGCCATGGCACTGTCCTGTCCACCACTCCCTGGTACCACTAGAACAACATAATATCATAAGTACCTGCTTGGTGACGATGCGAATGCCGAAACCCAACAGAAGCGCCAACGTCCCAAACCAACGACATCTAGTATGCGGGGTCCACCTGTCCAACGTACTTTGGTATATCTGCATACCCACAACATGATCAACTCGATAAGTCATCGACATACATCATACTAAGTTACAATGGACAGCACAGTGACTTGAAAGCCCGATAAGAGGTTAAATTTGGGGGGTTTACCTGTGATAGTCGCGTCCACGCCTGCGAAATTGCACTTTTCTTGCTCGCTGAGCTAAGTAATTCGTCTTCCATTCTTACGACCCAATTTTAGCTTCCTGAAAAGTGAATTCGTCAGTGTTGGAGTGCGGATTGGGGTGAAAGGTGTATAAAAAATGGCGCAGAAAGGATGGAACGGTGGTGGATACGAACCTATTTGTACATTAATTTATTCTGTTCGGTGTTATTTACAATTTATTAAATTATAGGTTCATTTTGGACACGTCAAATGATACATCACTAGCGGCGGCAGGCAATAGTGACAGAATGACAGTTGACGGACAGTGCCGAACGAAAATCCCTAGACGATCACCCCATTTGCACGATTTGAAACGTCTTATTTTTTAGAATATGTAATAACAAAAGCTTAGTTATGGTTTCTACACTGTGTTGAACGCATTTAAACACCTTAAATTAGGCGAATCGAAAAATAGGCTCAAAACGTGTTATTAGTAAGAAGCGCGCAAAATTATAAGTGGGTGTATTGTTGGTTGCCTATGTAGCATTTGATATTTCTTTTTTTTTTGTAGTCGCAAACAAATTTTGAAAATTCGACTCATTCTGCAATCACAACAAACGAATTTAACAAACTGACTGCTCAACTTAAAGTTCACTTCCTAGAATTCATGCGGGAGAGCAATGAAAAAACACGATCAAAGATAGCCATGAAATTTTCGTCTTGTCAAATTAACGTCAATTTGAAAGTTTTAGTTGAAAATGTAACAGTCAAAGACAAACGTTCAAAAATCCATGGTTATTTTTAATCGTATTATTCATGGCTCTCTGGTAACAATCACACCAATTTAAATGCAAGAGAGATTATTTTATAATATTAATCAGTGGACAAAAAAACTGGGACACAATTGGTAACTAGTTAATCTTGAAAATTAGAAATTTGAAGGTTCTGACATACTTTTTTTTAAATGTCATTTTGTTTGACTTTTTGAAGAACAATTTACAATGGCAAAATTTTCAGTGTCCCAGTTTTTAATAAAAAAAAATGTTTAGACATCCGTTAATTAATTGTTTACAGACTCTTGTATATTTATAAGTTTGGTCATGACTAATTTATTTATAAATTGCTGTAACATTTGTTGATTAGTAACTTTCTTCTAAATTTCTTGATAAATAATTGTTCATAATTTTTTAGAAATTTGTTCATAAGTTTGTTTATAATTTGTTTGTATGCTTGTGTACTTACTTCCTTTTTTGCGTCCTTTATTAGTAACGATAGTGACTGAAATCCAACAAGCTGTTATTTTTCATTAATAAATAAACCAAAAAAAATATATTAATGAGACATTTTTAAATTATAAACAAAAACAAAAACAACAACAAAAAATCAATTTTTTGTAAAAGTAGTCATCAGTACTTGCTGTAAAGCTGATTTTGGCAAATGACATAACCTCTAAGAAAATTGTGGGTGGGTGGGCGGGGCTAGTACTTGCTAAGATAAGACTGATTTGGCAGATGAGATATTCTCTAAGAAAAAAGAGGGCGGGTGGGCGGGGCTAGTATCTGCTACGACAAAACTGACTTTGGCAAATGACATACCCTCTAAGAAACGAGAGGGTGGGTGGGCGGGGCTAGTACCTTCTAAGATAAGATCTATTTTGGCAAATGACGTATCCTATAAGCAATTTAATTAAATTATTATAAGAAAAAACACTCAAGATTTTGTCAAGTTCATTCAGCAACAAAACACCAAATTTCTGTAAATTTATCCGAAATTAAAACACTGACTTTTCGGACAGAAAAATTGTCTCGTAACCCGAAATTGACTAAATATTCTTTTTTTCTAACGCTTTTAAAATTCTATCGAACTTTTGACTTCGTTCTACAGTTCTAGCTCTACAAATAAATCAGAAGTCTATAATTTCAGATTTCTAGACAGAATTCTTGTAGAATAATCTCGAAGCAAATTAATTAAGCTCCCTATTCAATTTTAATCCTCAAGGCGAAATTCTTCTATATCTATATAAAAAAGACTTTTTTGCCTTATTTTGTGTGTATGATTTGATATTTGACATTTGACATTATGCAACAACAAAAAAGGAAAACTAACCTCACCCACTCTGAATTTAATTGACATGAAAATTGAACTTTGTATTGTCGGTGATTAGATCTACGCTTAAAAAAATTTCAAAGCTCATCTACCACATATTCTTTTCATCATTTATTTTATTGGTCATTCGCTTTTGAATTTCATTGGCTTATTTTATTTACTGTGAGATGAAAATTGAATTTTAGTTTATCAGATTGTCCAATTCTACGATTAAAAAAATCAAAGTGGCCCCGCCCACCCACCCTGTTTTCTTTGTAATCATTCATTTTATTGGTGGAAAAGTGGATTTTATATTGAAAAACAGGGAAATCTAGACGAAAAAGGTAAAACTAACCCCACCCACCTCCGTTTTTGAATTTCATTGGCTTATTTATTTACTGAGATGAAAATTTAATTTTATTTTGTCAAGTGGTTGAATCTACGAATAAGAAAAAAAGATAAAGCTGATTTTGGCAAATGACATACCCTCTAAGAAAAGGAAGGGAGGGTGGGCGGGGCTAGTACTTGTTAAGATAAGACTGACTTTGGCAGATGAGATATCCTCTAAAAAAAGAAAGGGTGGGTGGGCGGGGCTAGTACGTGCTAAGATAAGACTGACTTTGGCAGATGAGATATCCTCTAAGAAAAGAAAGGGTGGGTGGGCGGGACTAATACTTGCTAAGATAAGACTGATTTTGGCAGATGAGATATCCTCTAAGAAAAGAGTGGGCGGGTGGGCGGGACTAGTACCTTCTAAAATAAGATCAATTTTGTCAAATAACGTCTCCTATAAGAAGTTTAATTAAATTATTATAAGAAAAAACACTCAAGACTTTTTCAGATTCGTAAAAAGGAAAACACTAAAAGCTCAAAAGATTTTTTCAAGTTCATCCAGCAACAAAACACCAAATTTATTTAAATTTATCCGAAATTAAAACACTTACTTTTCGGACAGAAAAATTGTCTCTAACTGAAATTAAGTAAATATTCTCCTTTTCGAGTAGAATTCGTATATAAATTCTTCCAACTCTTCTAAAATTCTATCGAACTTTTGATTTCGTTCTGCAGTTCTAGCTCTACAAATAAATCAGAAGTCTATAATTTCAGATTTCGAGACAGAATTCTTCTAGAATAATCTCGAACCAAATTAATTACGCTCCCTGTTCAATTTTAACCCTGAAGACGAATTCTTCTAAATCTATATAAAAAAGAATTTTTTGCTTTATTTTGTGTGTGTGATTTGATATTTGACATTTGACATTATACAACAACACAAAAGGAAAACTAACCTCACCCACTCTGAATTTAATTGAGATGAAAATTGAACTTTGTATTGTCGGTGATTAGACCTACGCTTAAAAAAATTTCAAAGCTCATCTATCACCTTTTTTTCATCACTTATTGTATTGGTCATTGGTTTTTGAATTTCATTGGCTTATTTTATTTACTGTGAGATGATAATTGAATTTTAGTTTATCAGATTGTCCAATTCTACGCTTAAAAAAAATTCAAAGTGGCCCCACCCACCCACCCTGTTTTCTTTGTGGTCATTCATTTTATTGGTAGAAAAGTGGATTTTATATTGAAAAAACAGAGAAATGTAGACCAAAAAGGTAACACTAACCCCGCCCACCTCCGTTTTAGAATTTCATTGGCTTATTTATTTACTGAGATGAAAATTTAATTTTATTTTGTCAAGTGGTCCAATCTACGAATAAGAAAAAAAGATAAAGCTGATTTTGGCAAATGACATACCCTCTAAGAAAAGAAAGGGTGGGTGGGCGGGGCTAGTACTTGTTAAGATATGACTGATTTGGCAAATGAGATATTCTTTAAGAAAAGAGAGGGCAGGTGGGCGGGGCTAGCGCTTGCTAAGATAAGACTGACTTTGGCAGATGAGATATCCTCTAAGAAAAGAAAGGGCGGGTGGGCGGGGCTAGTACTTGCTAAGACAAGACTGATTTGGCAGATGAGATATTCTCTAAGAAAAGAGTGGGCGGGTGGGCGGGGCTAGTACCTGCTACGATAAAACTAGCTTTGGCAAATGACATACCCTCTAAGAAACGAGAGGGTGGGTGGGCGGGGCTAGTACCTTCTAAAATAAGATCGATTTTGGCAAATGACGTATCATATAAGAAACTTAATTAAATTATTATAAGAAAAAACACTCAAGACTTTTTCGGATTCGTAAAAAGTAAAACACTAAAAGCTCAAAAGATTTTTTCAAGTTCATCCAGTAACAAAACACCAAATTTAAATTTATCCGAAATTAAAACACTCACTTTTCGGACAGAAAAATTGTCTCTAACCGAAATTAACTAAATATTCTCCTTTTCGAGTAGAATTTGTCTATAAATTCTTCCAACTCTTCTAAAATTCTATCGAACTTTTGATTTCGTTCTGCAGTTCTAGCTCTACAAATAAATCAGAAGTCTATAAATTCAGATTTTGAGACAGAATTCTTCTAGAATAATCTCGAACCAAATTAATTACGCTCCCTGTTCAATTTTAACCCAGAAGGCGAAATTCTTCTATATTTATATAAAAAAAATTGCTTTATTTTGTGTGTGTGATTCGATATTTGACATTTGACATTATACAACAACAAAAAAGGAAAACTAACCTTACCCACTCTGAATTTAATTGAGATGAAAATTAAACTTTGTATTGTCGCTTAAAAAAATTTCAAAGTTCATCTATCACCTTTTTTTTCATCACTTATTTTATTGGTCATTGGCTTTTGAATTTCATTGGCTTATTTTATTCACTGTGAGATGAAAATTGAATTTTAGTTTATCAAATTGGCCAATCCTACGCATAAAATTAATATTTTTGGCTACTTGCCAAGATAATACTGATTTTGGCAAATAACCTATTTTCTAACGAAATAAAGGGCGGGTGGGCGGGGGTAGAACTTGTGAAGATAGGACTGAAATTGCCAAATAACATAGATAGTCTCTAATAAAAAAATAAGTCCTTTGCTAAAATCAGTCGAATCTTGGCAAAGTTAAAATAATAAAAAAATGCATGTAGTTTTTTGTATTAAAGTGGATTTATAGTCAAGAGTTTGTCATTAATTTTCAAATTCTAAAATTGAACTATTATTTTTTTTTGTTAAGCAATAAATTTCGTCTTCTTTCTGCTACAATAAATTTTAGTAGTAAATAGTTTCCTAAACACTCGATTTGCGCTAATAATTACTTTTTAGTGGACGAAATCTTCTTGATCCAAGCGTACCCTAAAATATAATTTTAAAAATACACAAGACAAGACTTTGCAGAAGTAAGTACTTCACGATACACGAAACAACATCGTGACGTAATTGGTAAAACAATGTTGAATTGACGTCGTTCCAACCTTACTCCCTCGCCAAAAACCGCCTCTCCATAACTAATCGCTTGACATTTGACTGACATTTGACAGTCTGTTGTGTACGGTGGTGGTGTGGTGTTAACGGGTTGTCAACTTGTAAACTTGTTAATTTGTAACATTACACAATGGATTCTTACGAAAGTGTTTTACTCGTGAAACCGGAAGTATTCGTCTTCAACATACCCCCCAGGTCTTCCAACAGAGGCTACAGGTGACACCTCACCACCCAAAAAAAATTAACACCATTCCATTATCGCAGAATTTAACACATACGCCCCCGTTTTCCTCCACGAGATAACTGTTCCTTGATAATTTTCCAGAGCTGCGGACTGGAACCTAGCCGAGCCTTCATGGACGGGCCGCATGCGATTAATCTCGAAAGGCAACGAATGTGCAATCAAACTAGAAGACAAAAACAGCGGCGAACTTTTCGCGAAATGCCCCATCGAAACATATCCAGGCGTCGCCATCGAGCCCGTCACAGACTCTTCCCGGTACTTCGTTCTTCGCATCCAGGACGACAACGGTACACTCGCCAAAAACGCGTGTAATTCAATGACAACGTTTTCACTGTTTTCAGGCAGAATGGCTTTCATTGGGATCGGGTTCGGGGATAGATCGGACTCGTTTGACTTGAACGTGGCGCTGCAAGACCACTTCAAGTGGCTCAAGAAAGAGAAACAGATTAGTGAGGAACCAAACAAACCGGCGCTAGATTTAGGGTTCAAGGAAGGCGAGACTATTAAGATAAACATGAAAATCACTGTAGGTGTATGATTGGGATTTAATATTAAGTTTGATTGGTTTTTGTGTGCTGCAGAAAAAAGATGGGTCTGAAGGTAGTTCACGGACTAAGTTGAAATCTGGGAATGGGGGCGGGCTGGGTTTGTTGCCGCCTCCACCCAGCGGGAAATTACCGGCGCCTCCTGGAAGCTCGCCGGCTGGCTCTCCAGCGCACGCACCTAAAGTTGACAACACCACTGGGGAATCATGGGGTGAATTTGCCTCTGCACAAGGAAGGTATTTTTTTTTTATTGTTACTAAAAACAAAAATCTACAGTGGTTTTTTCAGTGCTACCACACCAGTTCCTCCATCAGCAAATAGCAATTGGGTACAATTTTAATTCTTGTAAGATAGATGTTATTCTACTGTTAGTTGGTAGATCTTCTCCAAGTAGTGAATCTAGTGTCTGGTAACATGTTGTGATTCACTGCAATATCATTTCTAGAAGAATGAATCATATTTTTATTGCAGAGATACTGTATTATATTGTATAGTGATAACTATATATACACTAATATTATGACAATGTGGAGATTTATTGTTTAAAGTTAAAGTATAATATATTGTGCTTAAATATTATAGTATTTATAAGAGTTATAACTTATTGATGTATCAAAACATTTTTATTACATGTTTTCTTTCACTGTTTGAATTAAGTCGACTGTTGAACAAAATTATGCACATTCCAAATGTTTAGTTTAGAAGGACTAGAACCTTCCAATATTAATAAAAGCGTTTTCAGTTACACTTTGTCTGCAATCCCCCCCCAAATCAATAAAAAACACAACCAACTAATTAATTTATTCAATACACAAACTACTACATTTACAACTTGAGTTCGTTTTTCTCAAACCCTCTTGTAGCGTAATCAGAGGGCTTCGCCCTATCAGGAAGTCTCGGATACCCAGGATCCCCCTCAACCACCGACTCTCTAGACCTAAAGAACCTCCACCCCCCATATCTCGTCCAGTCGTTCGCGTGGTACTTAAAATAATACGTAGTGGCATACGCAGCCACAATCCCAATCACTATTTTGCCCGTAAAGTACCTAATCTTGAGCGTGCGCTCCTCACCCAAAGCCGGTCTAAGAACATTGGCCAGAGTGTTCAAAGGCCAGCGGTAAAACCGCCGAATTGGGTTATGCGTAGCCTTGTACATCTCGGGCACGACTCGGGGCTCACTGTGACCCAACTCTTGATCCTTGAGCCACTGTTTACGAAACAGTCGCTCTTCGTCAGTCATCCCAAAGAGGCGCTCCCGCTCGCTGACGAAGCGGCCCGCGATGGACATGGGCTTGACGCCCCCAGTGGGCGAGGCTTTCCCCATTTTTCGCTACAAAAACGACTAATCAAGCAAAATATTATGTAATTGAGTTCACACGTACGACTTTTAGGTTACGTCGTGTTGACAGAAATGACATTCATGACGTTACTAGCACAGGTTACTAGAGAACATAGAGAAGCGTCATAGTTTGAATTAAATGACGGGTCAGGATTCCTCGACTTATGTTGGCAACAGTGTTTGGAATTAAATTAAGTGAAATAGAAAAAATGTCATAATATCTTTAACGACGCGTTTTACTTTCGACAAATTGACTGATACACATCCTAAACGGCTTTGACCATAATTTCTTGCTGTTTCAATCTTCGAATTCTCAGTTTTTCGAAATTTTAGTTTGGGGACTTTTCGGTTTACTCCTATTTATTATTCCATTTTTGGATTTTACAATTTCTTAATTTTTCAATTTCTCGGTTTTCAGTTTTTGTCTTCAATTTTACGATTTTTAAATATTTCGATTTTTCAATTTTTGACTTTTATAAACTCCGTTTGTCAAAATCCAAAATTAAAAAAAACACGAAAAAATTCAAACATCGAAATCTCGATAAATCTAGAAATCAAAAAATTGAAAAATCGCAAACTGAAAAAACCATGAAGCTTAAAACCGAGCAGTCGAAAAATTGAATTCGAACAATGAAAAAATTGAAAATTGTAAAATTAAAAAATTCCAAAATTGAAATATCGTAAAATTGGAATACAAAAAAAAAAAAAAATAAATTTGAGAAATCTAAATTACATATTGATTTTGATGTTCCGATTTTTCAATTGCTCAGTTTCCGGATTTTTTTACTTTTCAATTTTTTGATTTTCCAATGTATCATTTTTTTTAATTTTTCAATTTTTAACTTCAGTTTCAGTTTCTCGATGTTTGGATTTTCCGATTTTTCGACTTTTCAATTTTTGTAGATTTCAGTTTTGGGATTTTTCAGTTATTTGATTCCTCGATTTTTCAATTTTTCGATTCTTCAATGTCTCAATCTTTTTTTAATTTTCATTTTCTTGATTTTTTATATTTTGATTTCCCAATTTTCCAATATTTCAGTTTTACAAGTTTTCAATTTTTTTACTTTTCGACTTTTAGATTTTTTGATGTTTTGATTTTGGTATTTTTTGATCCCTCGACATTTCTATGTTTTGATTGCTCGGCGTCTCGATTGTTCATTTTTTCAATTCGTCAATTTTTCAAGTTTCCGATTTTTTGACTTCTGGATTTCTAGATCTTTCAGTTTTTCGATACGTTAGTTTTTCTTCAATTTCTCGACTTTTCGATTCCTCTATTTTTTCCGATTTCTCGTTGTGCTTTTTTAATTTTTCGATTTTTTAAATTTTTGACTTTTCAATGTTTTGATGTTTCGATTTCACATCCTTCGATTTTTCGACTTCTCGATTTTAGATTTTTTGGTTTTTCAATTTTTAGATTTTTTAAATATTTGATTTTTTGATTTTTCAAGTTTTCGGTTTTTAAACTTTCAGTGTCGATTTTTCAATTAATTGATTTTTCAGGTTTTTTGGTTTTTCAATTTTTCTATTTTCAACTTCACTTTTTTGATTTTTTGATTTCTCAATTTTTCGATCTTATAATTTTGCATGTTTTGATTTCTCAATTTTTCGATTCTTTAGATTCGATAGATAGATAGTTTTGGGATTTTTCAGTTTTTCGATATTTCAATTTTGAGATTTTTCAATATTTCTATTCTTCAACTTTTCTATTTTTGATTTCTCAATTTTTTTTTATTTTAATTTTTCAATGTTTAAAATTTTAAATTTTTCGATTTTTCATTTGAGTTCTTCGATATTTCAGTTTTTCAACTTTTCGAATTATTCAAATGTTTTTATTTCTTAATCTGTCGATTTTCTGACTTCCCGGTTTTAGATTTTCTGTTTTTCAATTGCCGCTTTTTCAAATTTTCAATTTTCCAATTTTTCAAATTTGACATTTATAAACTGTCAATTTTTCGATTTTTCAATTAACCGATGTTTTGATTTTCCCATTTCTTGACTTTCGAGGGTTTCGATATTCCTGTTCATCAATTCTTTAACTTTTCGATATTTCAGGTTTTTGATTTTTCATTTTTAGTTTTTTTAAGGTTTCGATTTTTTGACTTCACTTTTTGGATTTTTCGATTGCTTAATTTTTCAAATTTTTAGGTTCTCAGTTTTTCGAAATTTTAGTTTGGGGACTTTTCAATTTACTCCTATTTATTATTCAATTTTTGGATTTCACAATTTCTCAATTTTTCAATTTCTCGGTTTTCAGTTTTTGTCTTCAATTTTACGATTTTTAAATATTTCGGTTTTTCAATTTTTGACTTTTATAAACTCTGTTTGTCAAAATCCAAAATTAAAAAAAAACACGAAAAAATTCAAACATCGAAATCTCGATAAATCTAGAAATCAAAAAATTGAAAAATTGGAAAACTGAAAAACCATGAAGCTTAAAACCGAGCAGTCGAAAAATTGATTTCGAACAATAAAAAAATTGAAAATTGTAAAATTAAAAATTTTGAAAAATCTATAATTCAATGACCCGAAAATTGGAAAAACAAGAAATCGAAAAATTGAGAGATCGAAATATTAAAAAAATCCAAAATTGAAATATCGAAAAATTGGAATACAAAAAAAAAAAAAAATTTGAGAAATCTAAATTACATATTGAGATTTTGATGTTCCGATTTTTCAATTGCTCAGTTTCCGGATTTTTTGACTTTTCAATTTTTTGATTTTCCAATATATCATTTTTTTTAATTTTTCAATTTTTAACTTCAGTTTCAGTTTTTCGATGTTTGGATTTTCCAATTTTTCGACTTTTCAATTTTTGTAGATTTCTCGTTGAGCTTTTTTAATTTTTCGATTTTTTAGATTTTTGACTTTTCAATGTTTTGATGTTTCGATTTCACATCCTTCGATTTTTCGACTTCTCGATTTTAGATTTTTCGGTTTTTCAATTTTTAGATTTTTTAAATGTTTGATTTTTTGATTTTTCAAGTTTTCGGTTTTTAAACTTCCAGTGTCGATTTTTCAATGAATTGAATTTTCAGGTTTTTTGGTTTTTCAATTTTTCTATTTTCAACTTCACGTTTTTGATTTTTCGATTTCTCAATTTTTCGATCTTACGATTTGACATGTTTTTGATTTTTCAATTTTTCGACTTTTTTAAGGTTTCAATATTTCGACTTCACTTTTTTGATTTTTCAATTTCTCAATTTTCCGATTCTTTAGATTCGATAGATAGATAGTTTTTAGATATTTCAGTTTTGGGATTTTTCAATTTTTCGATTCGTCAGTTTTTCTTTTATTTTTCAGTTTTTCGATATTTCAGTTTTGAGATTTTTCAATATTTCTGTTCTTCAACTTTTCTACTTTTGATTTCTCAATTTTTTGGTATTTTAATTTTTCAATATTTAAAATTATAGTTTGGGAACTTTTCAGTTTACTCCTATTTATTATTCAATTTTTGGATTTTACAATTTCTCAATTTTTCAATTTCTCGGTTTTCAGTTTTTGTCTTCAATTTTACGATCTTTAAATATTTCGATTTTTCAATTTTTGACTTTTATAAACTCTGTTTGTCAAAATCTAAAATTAAAAAAAACACGAAAAAATTCAAACATCGAAATCTCGATAAATCTAGAAATCAAAAAATTGAAAAATCGGAAAACTGAAAAACCATGAAGCTTAAAACCGAGCAGTCGAAAAATTGAATTCGAACAATGAAAAAATTGAAAATTGTAAAATTAAAAATTTTCAAAAATCTAAAATTCAATGACCAGAAAATTGGAAAAAGAAGAAATCGAAAAATTGAGAGATCGCAATATTAAAAAAATCCAAAATTGAAATATCCAAAAATTGGAATACCAAAAAAAAAATTTGAGAAATCTAAATTAATATTGAGATTTTGATGTTCCGATTTTTCAATTGCTCAGTTTCCGGATTTTTTGACTTTTCAATTTTTTGATTTTCCAATGTATCACTTTTTTTTCAATTTTTCAATTTTTAACTTCAGTTTCAGTTTTTCGATGTTTGGATTTTCCGATTTTTCGATTCTTCAATGTCTCAATTTTTTTTTAATTTTCATTTTCTTGATTTTTTATATTTTGATTTCCCAATTTTCCAATATTTCAGTTTTACGATTTTTCAATTTTTCGAGTTTTCAATTTTTCTAATTTTGGACATTTCTGAATTTTCGATTTCTCGATTAATCGTTTCATTTTCTCAATTTTTTTACTTTTCGACTTTTAGATTTTTTGATGTTTTGATTTTCGCATTTTTCAATCCCTCGACATTTCGATTCGTCAATTTTTCGATTTTTCAAGTTTCCGATTTTTTGACTTCTGGATTTCTAGATATCTCAGTTTTTCGATTCGTTAGTTTTTCTTCAATTTCTCAACTTTTCGATTCCTCTATTTTTTCCGATTTCTCGTTGTGCTTTTCCTCTATTTTTTCCGATTTCTCGTTGTGCTTTTTTAATTTTTCGATTTTTTAAATTTTTGACTTTTCAATGTTTTGATGTTTCGATTTCACATCCTTCGATTTTTCGACTTCTCGATTTTAGATTTTTTGGTTTTTCAATTTTTAGATTTTTTAAATATTTGATTTTTTGATTTTTCAAGTTTTCGGTTTTTAAACTTTCAGTGTCGATTTTTCAATTAATTGATTTTTCAGGTTTTTTGGTTTTTCAATTTTTCGATTTTTTTAAGGTTTCAATATTTCGACTTCACTTTTTTGATTTTTCAATTTCTCAATTTTTCGATTCTTTAGATTCGATAGATAGATAGTTTTTGGATAGTTCAGTTTTGGGATTTTTCAGTTTTTTGATTCGTCAGTTTTTCTTTTATTTTTCAGTTTTTCGATATTTCAGTTTTGAGATTTTTCAATATTTCTGTTCTTCAACTTTTCTACATATTTTTGATTTCTCAATTTTTTGGTATTTTAATTTTTCAATATTTAACATTTTAGATTTTTCGATTTTTCAATTTTTCATTTCAACTCTTCCATATTTCAATTTTTCAAATGTTTCGATTTCTTAATCTTTCGACTTTTCGACTGCCCTGTTTTAGATTTTCTGTTTTTCAATTGCCGTTTTTTCAAATTTTCGATTTTTCAATTTTTCAAATTTGACATTTATAAACTGTCAATTTTTCGATTTTTCAATTAACCGATGTTTTGATTTTCCCATTTCTTCACTTTCGAGGGTTTCGATATTCCTGTTCAATTCTTTAATTTTTCGATTTTTCAGGTTTTTGATTTTTCATTTTTTGGTTTTTTTAAGGTTTCGAATTTTCGACTTTGTTTTGAATTTTTCGATTGCTTACTTTTTCGACTTTGTAGGTTCTCAGTTTTTGGATATTTCAGTTTTCAAATTTTTCAGGTTTTCCATTTTTCAGTTTTTCTTTCCTTTTTCAGTTTTTCGATATTTTAGTTTTGGGATTTTTTCAATATTTCGATTCTTCGACTTTTCGATTTTTGGCTTCTGGATTTTTCGAAGTATCGATTTTTTTACTTTTTCAATTATTCAATTTCCCCATTTTTAAATTTTAGATGTTTTAATTTTTAAAATTTTAGATTTTTCGATTTCTAGATTTTTCATTTCACTTCGATATTTCAATTTTTCAAGTTTTCGAATTTTTCAAATGTTTCGATTTCTTAATCTTTTGATTTTTCGACTTCCCGGTTTTAGACTTTCTTTTTTTTGCAATTGTCATTTTGTCAAATTTTCGATTTTTTTATTTTTCAAATTTTACTTTTATAAACTCTCAATTTTTCGATTTTTCAATTAATCGATGTTTTGATTTTCCCATTTCTTCAGCTTCGAGTGTTTCGATTTTCCTGTTCTTCAATTCTTTAATTTTTTGATTTTTCAGGTTTTTGATTTTTCAATTTTTCGATTTTTTTAGGTTTCTATTTTTTGACTTCATTTTTTTGATTTTTCGATTTTCAGTTTTAGGATTTTTCAATATTTCAATTCTTCGGCTTATCTATTTTTGACTTCTGGATTTTTCGATGTGCCTACTTTTTTACTTTTTCGATTTTCCAATTTTTGGATTTTTAAATTTTAGATTTTTCGACTTATGTTTAATTTTTCAGTATTTCTTAATCTTTCGATTTTTCGACTTCCTGGTTTTAGATGTTCTGTTTTTCAATTTTTCGATTTGTTAATTTTTCATTTCCGATTTATCGAGATTTGATTGTTCAGGTTTTCGATTTATTAGTTTTTCAATTTTTTATTTTGGCCTATTTCTGTTTCTCAGTTCTCTTTCTGTTGATTTTTCAATCTCTCAATTTTTCAATTTTTCGAATTTTTAAGTTTTTTGATTTCTCGATTTATGGAGATTTGGATTTTTCGATATTTTAATTGTCAATTCCTCAATTTATAAATTGTTCAATTTTTAACTTTTCGATTTTTCGATTTTGGCTTACTTCGGTTTCTCAATTGTTCGACTTTTCGACTCCACGATTTCTTGATCTTTTGATTTTTCGATTTTTCAGTCATCCAATTTTTTAAAGTTGGGAGTTTCGATTTCTAGATTTTTCGTTATTCTGTTTTTAAATTTTAGATGTTTGAATTTTACATTTTTTCGATTTTCAGTTCTTCGATATTTCGATTTTTCAAGTTTCGGTTTTACGATTTTTCGATTATTAGATTTCTCGATTTTTCGAATTTTCGAAATTCATAGAAAATAGACTATTTAAATTTGGCGCTTGCCTTTGGCGGTTGAGGACTCCAATGTCAATACGGGTGGTTTTGCAAAATCATCTTGTATGTCGCATCTATATTAACCTATGTTACAGATCTAGGGATTTTGGGGATTTTGGTGTTTTTTGTGGTTATGTTTAAGTCTGTCAAAAGTCAACATCGATGATTTTCGAGATTTGTCCTGATCAATCAACAAAAAGTGACTGTGTTTTCTGGTTGTAGAACGACTATTTTGGGGGCGGTTGTCTTCGAACAAGCTTATTAAAATGACGGTGATTAATAAGGTAAGCGACTTTCAATTGTTTGTGAAGTGTCCGTCACGTTTTCGGAAAAAACACAATGGGCGCAAATATTTCCGTTCCTGGGACTAGCGGAGGCGTAGTTACCCCCAAAGTGGCTTTAAAAGACGTAGTAATAAATGTTTCGTGCGACAAATCGACTGTGAATAAGCCCGGACGGAGCCAAGTTAAGCGGGGTACCAAAGTCGGGTTTTTCTAACGCCTGCCTTTCCAGATGGACGTGGATGGGGGCCCCAAAGGCGAGGGTTTCCGGTCGTACTACATCACAAAAATCGAAGAACTGCAGCTGATTGTGGCCGAGAAAAGTCAGAATTTGAGGCGTCTGCAGGCACAACGCAACGAACTCAACGCCAAAGGTACCCCCAAACGCGTGACAATCAAAGACTGATGACCCTGTTTCAGTGAGAATGCTGCGAGAGGAGTTAATGTTGCTCCAAGAGCAAGGGTCCTACGTAGGTGAAGTGGTCAAACCCATGGATAAGAAAAAGGTCCTGGTGAAGGTGCACCCAGAAGGTAAATTCGTGGTCGATATTGACAAAAATATCGACATTAACGACGTAACTCCCAACTGCCGGGTAGCCCTAAGAAACGAGAGCTACACCCTCCACAAAATTCTACCCAACAAGGTTGATTTTTATTTAATGATTTTGTTTTACTGATTTGATTTTCTAGGTTGATCCTTTAGTGTCTCTAATGATGGTGGAAAAAGTCCCGGATTCCACGTACGAAATGGTGGGTGGTTTAGACAAACAAATCAAAGAAATCAAAGAAGTGATTGAACTCCCAGTCAAGCACCCGGAGTTATTTGACGCTTTGGGGATCGCGCAACCAAAAGGCGTGCTTTTGTATGGTCCCCCGGGAACGGGTAAGACTCTTTTAGCTCGCGCTGTGGCCCACCACACCGAGTGCACTTTCATCCGGGTTTCCGGCTCAGAACTCGTGCAGAAATTCATTGGTGAGGGGTCGCGGATGGTGCGCGAGTTGTTCGTAATGGCGCGAGAGCACGCCCCTTCCATAATTTTCATGGACGAGATTGATTCCATTGGTTCGTCTCGGATCGAGTCGGGTTCAGGCGGCGACTCAGAAGTCCAGAGAACCATGCTAGAGTTGCTAAATCAGCTGGACGGTTTTGAGGCCACCAAAAACATTAAAGTCATTATGGCCACAAACAGGATCGACATTCTGGATCCGGCGTTACTCAGACCCGGACGCATTGACCGCAAGATCGAGTTCCCGCCGCCGAACGAAGAAGCCCGACTCGACATTTTGAAAATTCATTCAAGGAAAATGAATCTCACTAGAGGGATTAATTTGCGGAAAATCGCGGAGTTGATGCCCGGGGCTAGCGGGGCTGAAGTCAAGGGGGTTTGTACCGAAGCAGGGATGTATGCGTTGAGGGAGCGCCGAGTGCACGTCACCCAAGAAGATTTCGAGATGGCAGTGGCTAAAGTAATGCAAAAGGACTCGGAGAAGAACATGTCAATTAAAAAGTTGTGGAAGTAAAAATTGTAATTTTTGTTTAAATAAAAATATTAATGCGTAATTTCATTGTTTAAGTATATTATAGTTGGACAACCTAATACAAATTTTACTTCGCTTAAATAGTGAGCTTTAGGACAAGGAATTCAGGGGGCGTGGGACAAATTTTTCGTCAACGCGCATTTTCACTACAGTGAGCCAACGTATTAGGTTTATTTTACTCTAAATCAGATGGCGCCATCAAACATTAGCAAAGGCAAACACCCTTCACTCTGCTCTTATACGAGGAGTTATCCATAAATCCATAATTAACATTGTTCCGTAAACAGTAATGTGTATAAACATATATGTACAAAATATGAAAATATACTTGACATAAAAAATATGAAGCAACGCGTTGTAACGTGATAAGAAAGAATTGAATTCAAATTAATTTGACGCATATTTTTATTTGACTATATCTGAAGACTGACAGAAACTTTCCAAGGGTTTTTAAACTGGTATAATTGTTTAGTTTTACAAGATTAAAGTAAAACAAGATTTTAAGTAAAATTTAGATTCGTGGTGTTACAAAAATATTAACACAAAATGAAAATATATGTTCAAAGTAAATAACAGAATGACATAAACTTTCGGCGTTAACATTACAAATAATTACAAGAGAGAGAAAAACGCATTAAGAACTTAAGAGGCATGTTTGTAATATCGAGTTGTTAAAGGCTGCTTTGAAGACTGTTTGTTTCTATGAAAAACAATTGCTGTTATCGGACATTTTGGTAGATTTTGTGCCAAAAATACGAGATAACTAATTGTTTCTTGAACTAGTTTCCGTAACTTCTAAAATTTAAAAAGGATACGCCGTTCTGCTGTAATAAAATCTAGAATAAGGTCAAAATCACACTAATATTACATCTGATTTTGTTAACCACATGAATATAATTTACATTAAAATAAGTTACAGACATTGTTTGAAATGTTTATTATAGTTCGAAAACAGGATTAAATAAATAAATAAATAAAAAAAATGTGCAGTTTATAAACTTCAGAATTTTAGTATAAAAATAATCATGTTTGAAGCTTTATTTTGTCTGTTCCATTTTATTGGGTGTATTGGGCCCCTCCCGGGATATAACACCGACATCAGTGCACCGACCCAACGTTCTTCAACCGATGGGATGATTTATTACTTCCGTTATGCTGGCCCTACACACAGCGATTTGGTTTTCGGATTTTCGGCTAGATCTGCACAGTTAACTCTTTGCGCACTGCACACTGACATAGAATATTTTGTTCACGGGAGCATCAAAAATATTACGCCGAAAGCACTTCTTCAAGTGTTATTTTTTTTAAGGTGTTATATTTGTCAGCGTTTCCAAAATTTTCTTCTTTGCACAGGTCAACTAATTTTTCGTAAACCGCATTTTAAAATTTTTGTTATTGTATTTTTTACTTTTTAATTTTCTAAGGCACGAAAAAAATCCCATATAGGTTTCTATGAATTTATTAACGAAATCAACTGATAACTTGCGCGCCATTTTGTGTTAATTAACACCAATAGTGATTATGATAATTTTATAATTATCATTTTAATGAAATTGTGTTCTTCACTTCGCGAACGACAGCAAACAATTTAAAATTACCGCTAGTCAAGCACCTGAAAATCCATCTCTCCCAAATATGTCTTTCTTGGCACGATTTGTAATCCGAAGTCTCCCTCCACATGCAATTTTTCGTCGCCTGAGAACTTGTTTGATCTACAGACCAAAGCTCACTCAGGCCAATATCGGCTTTAAGCGATTTATCTATAAACCGATATTCGTTAGAGTTGATGTGATACAGTACATCCACTACGAAGAACTAACCCATTTCGACCATTGGACTTTACAACGAATAAGTGAACAAAGTTCTTGAACATCTTAACGATTTAATAATTAATGTTCCCGAATGACAAAATTTACATTTCAAATTGTATTATCAAATTACACTCTCCAAAATTTGTCACGAACAATGAAATGACGCATTCTCCAAATTTTACAATAGTAAAATTGTAGTTTGGCCCTGTTTACGGTTTATGCATCCGTGTTGAGTTTTCACCTTAGACGTCAAGATTTTTGGAAAAAAAAATCAACATTTTCCAATTTATAATGTTATGTATTTAAATTTTAAAAAGTAGAATAGTCCTGATCTTGTGATTTATACCAAAATACGCTATTGGGATTTTTCGGCTTGTCGATTTCTCGATTTTTCAACTTTAAATGTCTCAATTTTTCAATATTTCAATTTTGGGCTTTCCCGATTCCTCCATTCCTTAAATTTTCTATTTCTCGATTTTTTTATTTTTCGATTTCTCAATCTTACGATGTTTCAATGATACGATTTCTCAATTTTTGTCCTCGTCAATTTTACGGTTTTTAAATATTTCGATTTTTCAATTTTTCAAATTTTCACGTTTCTAAATTTTCAGTTTGCCGATTTCTAAAGTATTTTTTTTATTTGTCCATTTCTGGATTTCCTAAAGTTTCGATTTTTCACATCTTCAATTCCTCAATTTTTCGATTTTTTAAGATTACGATTTTTCAATTTTGCTTTTTTAGATTTTCGATTTCTCAATTTTCCAATTTTTTAATTTCTCAATTTTTTGAATATTTCTTTCAGTTATGAGATTTTTCAATATTTCAATTTTTCGACTTTTCGATTTTTGAATTGATGGATTTTTTTTGATTTCTCGCTTTTTTCCTTTTTGGATTTTCAATTTATTGTAAACTTTAGATTTTTCAATTCTGGGACTGTTTTAATGCTTCGATTTCTCAATTTTTAAACTTTTCGATGTTTTAATATTTCATTTTTTAAAATTCTAGGTTTTTCGATATCTCGAGTTTTCAGTTCTTCTATATTTCAATTTTTCGATTTTTTGAATTTTAATTTTTGATTTTCCAGTTTTTCTTTTTTAAAATTTTTCGATTACCTATTCAATTTTTTAATTTCTCAATTTATCGAATTGAGATGTTTCGTTGTTTTGATTGTTCAATTTCTCAGTTTTTCAATTTTTAACTTTCCTTTTCGGCTTCCGACTCCTCAATTTCTCGATCCTCCGATTTTTCGATTTCTCGAAGTCTCAGTTTTTGAATTTTTCGATGTTTCGATTTTTGGATTTCTCGGTTTTTCGATTTTTTTCTTTTGAGCTTTTCAATTTCTGGATTTTCCAATTTTTCAATGCCCCGATTTTTCAATTTTTTAAATGTTTACATTTCTTAATCTTTTGATTTTTCGACTTCCCGTTTTAGATTTTCTGTTTTTAATTGACGTTTTTTCAAATTTTCGATTTTTCAATTTTTCGATTTTTCAATTAATCGATATTTTGATTTTCCCATTTCTTGACTTTCGAGGGTTTCGATATTCCTGTTCTTCAATTCTTTAATTTTTCGGTTTTTCAGGTTTTTGATTTTTCATTTTTTAGTTTTTTAAGGTTTCGATTTTTCGATTTCACTTTTTGGATTTTTCGATTGCTTAATTTTTCGACTTTTTAGGTTCTCAGTTTTTGGATATTTCAGTTTTCAGATTTTTCAGGTTTTCCATTTTTCAGTTTTTCTTTCATATTTCAGTTTTTCGATATTCCAGTTTTGGGATTTTTCAATATTTCGATTCTTCAATTTTTGACGTTTATAAACTCTTTATTTGTGAATTTTTCAATTCATTGATTTTTCAGGGGTTTTTTTCAATTTTTCGATGTTTTCAGGTTTCTATTTTTCGACTTCACTTTTTTGATTTTTCGATTGCTTAATTTTTCGACTTTTTAGGTTCTCAGTTTTTGGATATTTCAGTATTCAGATTTTTCAGGTTTTCCATTTTTCAGTTTTTCTTTCATTCTACAGTTTTTGGATATTTCAGTTTTGGGATTTTTCAATATTTCGATTCTTCGACTTTTCGATTTTTGACTCCTGGATTTTTCGATGTGTCGATTTTTTTACTTTTTCGATTTTTCAATTTTTCGGTTTTGAAATTTTAGATTTATTAATTTTTAAAATTTTAGATTTTTCGATTTCTCGATTTTTCGTTTCAGTTCTTCGATATTTCAATTTTTCAAGTTTTCAAATTTTTCAAATTTTCGATTTCCTAATCTTTTGATTTTTCGACTTCCCGGTTTTAGATTTTCTGTTTTTCAATCGTCGTTTAGTCATATTTTCGATTTTTTAATTTTTCAAATTTGACTTTTATAAACTCTCAATTTTTCCTTTTTTTCAATTAAAGGATGTTTTAGTTTTCCCATTTCTTGACCTTCGAGTGTTTCGATTTTCCTGTTCTTCAATTCTTTAATTTTTTGATTATTGAATTTTTCGATTTTTTAAGGTTTCTATTTTTCGACTTCACTTTTTTGATTTTTCGATTTTTCAGTTTTTAGATATTTCAGTTTTAGGATTTTTCAATATTTCAATTCTTCGGCTTTTCTACTTTTGACTTCTGGATTTTTCGATGTGTCTACCTTTTCATTTTTTCGATTTTTCAATTTTTGGATTTTGAAATTTTAGATTTTTCGACTTATGTTTAATTTTTCAAATTTCGTTTTTTGATTTTTTCTCTTTTCCAATTTTTCAACTTTTAACTGTTTGTTTGACGATTTCTTCTTTCAATCTCTCAATTTTTAAGTTTTTTTATTTCTCGATTTATCGAGATTTGGATATTTCGATATTTTGATTGTCAATTTCTCAATTTATAAATTGTTCAATTTTTAACTTTTCGATTTTTCCATTTTGGCCTATTTCGGTTTCTCAATTGTTCGACTTTTCGACTCCACGATTTCTTGATCTTTTGATTTTTCGATTTTTCCACTCTCCAAAATTTGTCACGAACAATGAAATGACGCAATCTCCAAATTTTACAATAATAAAATTGTAGTTTCGCCCCGTTTACGGTTTATGCATCCGTGTCGAGTCACCTTAGACGTCAAGATTTTTGAAAAAAAAAATCAACATTTTCCAATTTATAATGTTATTTAAATTTTAAAAAGTAGAATAGTCCTGATCTTGTGATTTATACCTAAATACGCTATTGGGATTTTTCGGCTTG